ATCTGAAATTTAGTGTGTGTTTACCTTAAAAAAAGCAAAAAGCAAATGGGATAACGGAACATCTCTATCATAGAAGTCATTTTGATAAGATGTGGTACTTTGAGAAGTTCTTAGTTCTGCAGTTCCATTCGAGCGATACACACTTACTGACCTTAGGTAAAGGGATAGTTTACAAAAAAAGGACAATTCATCATTCCAAGGCTGCGTGTGACTTTCGTTTTCCTTTGGAACACAAAAGAGGATATTTTGAAAAATTATTTTATTGTTCATACGATAAAAGTCAATGGGGTACGATGCTGTGCAGTGTTGGACACTATATTGACTTTTATTGTATAGACAAAAACAGTTGAAACATTCATGAAACACCTTTTTGTTTGTTCCCTCAAAGAATGGTATACATATTTAGAACGACATGAATTAATAATAAGATGGTTATACTTTTTGATGGTTTTTAACCTTAAAGCCGTAACATATATAAAATAATAGACAGACAAATATTTATTTTATTTTAAATGGAAGAGCTTATAGAATATATTCATTTTATTTATTATTTTATTTTTTGAGTATCATATTTTATACATCAGGCTTGAATTTCTCATATAGTATGATATAATGAGAATATAGAGCTCACACTCAAGAAGCTTTATGATCTTTCATTTGTAAATTTATGAAAGATCATAAAATTCTGTAATCTTTATTGTGGGGGCAAAACTTATAATGCAATGCAATACAATGATGATTGAGAATTGTACAAATAAAAGCCTGATGTATTAATTTGATACCTACATTTTAACATGATTTTTCTAAAATATTATGCATAGTTAATTAAGTAAACTGAAAAGTTCAGTAAGTGTTCATCTCGAAATATTACTAATAACATAAAAGGTATTGTTACATTTACTTTATAAAACGATTTCACAGCAAAAAGCCATACCATTTGTAAAATTATACTTAAAGGCCTTTTAAACACTTAAACACAAAATATAAACTATCAATCAGACAATAGTCAGCATGTAGTACTTTGTGTATAACAGCTTTTTTCAGCAGAGTTGATCATGTTGATCGTTTAGAAGTCTTAGAAATTTGCATACCAAATGAGATACAGTATGCTTTATAGGGTTAATTACAAAAAAAATCCTTTTGTGTGAACTACTCCTTTAACAGCTTTTTTTTTTTTTCAAACTATTCTGGTTCTGTTGTGGGGACAGCAGCAGAGCTCAAAGCCCCATGCTGAAGAGTTTGTTAAAGCGTGAAATTTAGAGATGCATGTGACGCTAGACCAGTCATGAGGCAAAACAAACAAAGACGTCACGGAAGACAAACAGAGATTTGAGTGCATCAGATGCCTCGTTCTCTTCCCTTGGCTCTGTCAAAACACCTTTCCCGGGATCTGTGAAACAGACAGGGTCCATTAGGAGCTCAAGCATATAATCACATCTCTGTAATGAGTTATTAATTAAACCAGGGGCATGCATTGCCCCGCTAACAGCCTCATAAACAATTGACTGGAGATTTGTGATTTTTGACTCACTGACACCATTAAACAAATCAATATTGGGTTTTGCAGCAAGAGCTCTGTGCCTGGCTCTCCCTGGTTTTTGCCAATAAGCCGCGTTGAATACTAATAAGGGAATTAGTCGCCTCATATTCCGCATGTGTCCCATCAAACAGATCCTTATCAAGAGGGAGCAGAAGACTCATTTGCATGGAGGAAGACTCTGCTTTGTAGGTAAAGATTTCACAATATGTCATTCATTTCGGTTCGCTTCCCATCCTCCATCTTCCTCTCTGGTTGCACAGTCACACACACTCTTCGCTTTTGCCCAAATGACAAAAACATGGTGTGCCATTGCTGGCCCCTAGGAAGCAGTTTACCCTGCTGTGACAACTCTTGAATGCTTCTTTAAATGCGCCTGCTTTCATGTTTGCGCAGTGTTTATCGTATTTTTAATTTATTTTCTGAAGCATCCTATTTTTCTAATGACGTCTCTGTCCTTTCTTTGAAAGCACTGCCACCAACGAGCGGAGACCCAGCCAACCCCAGCTAGCATTCGGTTCCTTTTGATAGCTGCGCCAATCTAAGTAGATAAATGTTGCACTTAGCACACCTAATGATGTTTACCATTCAAAGCGTGGAAAGAGAGGCTCTAAAGTGTGTTTTATGTGTGATGTGTTAGCCAGAATGCATGAGAAAAATCTTACGTGATTAGGCTGAGGACTGCGCCTAAAGCTAATCGGCACTACAAACATGTCCGTATACTTTTAAAATGTTCTAGAGGAAGAGATCATGTAAATAAAATCAGGTTGAGTCTGTGCAATTCCTTGAATGTAGAAATGATATGGCTGCCAGTTTAACTGATGCTTCAAAAATATGAACCATTTTAAATGGGTGACTCTCATGGCATAGAGATGCTCAAAAACAGCGAGATGCGTTGCGTACATATGTACATATGTACATAGACCAGCAATTGAAAATCAACGGCAGATGAAATGCAAGCACATGTTCTTGATGTGTGTGTGTATACATGTTTGCTTTGGAATATATATAATAATTAATCTTTATATATATGTTGTTGCTTTTTTGCTTTTAATATATGTGAATAATTAAGTTAAATTACCCTAGTTAAAAAAGGTAATATATTTAAAATACATTTATTTCATACTAAGTATAGTTCAAATCTAATAACATATTTACTGACATATCGCTTGAGACTGATATAAAAAGTATAATTCAACTTTATTTGGAGTACTGCTTGTGCACAATGCACATTACATATTATTAAGTCTAAAATGTGTTTTAATGTCACTATTGATGAGGATTGAAGATATTTAAAGCGTACCTAAAGTATACTTGCAATAGTTTCGCATTAGCACAATCAAATATACTTCAGTATATCTTTAGTTGGACTTCACCTCTACTTCCGCACAAATAAAGTACAAAATTAGTTCCAATTTAGCAGACTTCAAGTATATCAGTTTATTATACTAAAAGTACAATAGCAGGGTATTTTTATTAAGTACGTCAATAAGTAAATGTATTTGTATAGCATACTTAGCATGAAATAAATGTCTTTCAAATACATTTTAGTATATTTATTTTTCACTAGGGAACAATTTAAGTAATTAAATTTGATAACGTAAATATTTTGATTAAAAAAGTTTTAATTTATAGCCCTAATAAATAACATAAAAGCGTATTGTTAATTTAGTGTCATTAAGATACTATATATATATTTTATATTTTGTTAAATGTTTTAATTAATTAATGTTTGTTTTTGTATTTTAAATTGTATTTACATTTTAGTTTACTTTGTTATTGTTTTTAAATCAATATAGTCATTTTTTAAATAATTTGTAACATTTACTTATTGATTTATTTTAGTTGTAGTATACTGAGATAAACTAATAAAAAGATAAATGTTTCTATATATATATATATATATATATATAATTATATTTTAGTTAATATTTATTTCAAGTAACCCTGACGGGGGTAAAACATCTGCAAATATGTTTTCCAGTGTTATCCATATGTTTATAACCTTTCATTTTCCAAGATATCTTGCCCAAGTCAGTCATTTGGCAATCACTCTGCACTCATTTACACTTAGTATTCAATAAACCACTCTCTTAACTCAAGTTAAGGACATAATTATGCTCGGCCTCCCCCACTTCTCTGATCCTGAAATCATTATCAAGGCCCAGGTTTAAGTTTCACCAGGTGGACAGGGGAAGGAGAGAAGCACTCATTTACTCAAACCCAGCAGTGATACTGGGTCCATCCCTCCTCTCCTCACCTGAGTGCCTCGCAGAAAGGAGTTGGCAGGGGGGAGGCCGTGCAGAGCGAACCCCTCGTGTGTGGTCGCAGCTCTTTGGGGCTAATGCAGGAGATTGACTCTTTAATTGAGGCAAGAGTGATGCTCATCATCTCTCATTAATGAGGCCAGTTAGAAAAGTGGGAGTGTGTGTTTGAGAAAATGAGAACGTGAAAGAGGGAAAAAGAGAGGTGAAGAGGCTCCGAGACATGCCTGACCATCTCAGGGTGGTCATTAGTCACGAATCGCTCTGTGTTGTGTGTGCGTATGTGCATTCAGAGTGTCTACTGAGGCAAAAGAGAGGCTCGCTTATGATATCAGGTATCAATCACAGTCAATATGTCCAATTAAGATCAAAGCGCCACGTTATTTTGAACTTCCCTGAAAAGAAAAATGATCTCCTAATTAATATAGATTATCCAGGACAGACTGGAAGAAGAGAGAGGGACCGGTCTAGACGCAGAGCAGGGTACCCCATGTGTTCACACCAGTCCCACTTAAACGGCTCCCTCTCTTGTGGTGCATAACAGTGAGGGATTATGGGGGGACGAAATGGACGTCATTAAAAACCTGCTCCTTTGGGTTTCATTGAGAAATGATTGGCAATTTAGTGTTTGAAATCTGCTACGGACCAGTATTCGATAGAGAGAAAGAGCAAGAGAGAGGTGAGGTGAAACTGCTTATGCAGTCAATTTTCCCATTCTTTATCCCTCTTACTGCACCAGAATGTGTTCGCGGCTCGCGCCGCCCGGCGAGGTTGCCAAACTCATTTCACCTCGTGGACCTCAACTTGACTGCAAGCCAGACAACCCAACGTGATAAGGCCGCATTAAACCTTCACTCTCCTAAGGGAGGGTTATTATACAGACAGAGAGAGATGCCTCTCTGCATGTGAGAACAACAGGTAATGTTACATCATGCTAGCATCGCGTTCGCAACATTAAAGGGGGGATAAATGCGTGCCATTACCCTTCATATCTACAGACGGGTAGAGAAAGTAAAGAGTATAAAGGGAAAGAATGAGGAAAAGGGTTTCTTCTGTCCATACAGCCTTGACAACAGAATCCAGCTGTAGAGTGCAACAATCAGGTTCTGGATGTAAAAATCCCATTCATTTTCTCCGTATGGGAATTTATAAATAAATTTAAAGACCCATTATCTTGGCAGACATCAGTTTGTGTCTTTTTAGCTTTATGCTGCATTTATTTGTTTATTTTTAAATCCTGTTTAACAGTGCACTTCCTGGTTTAGAACGACATCACCCATGATCCTGCAGAGAAATATCACCAGATTAGAGTAATAAATCATGGCAAATAAATTGTACTTATACCCAAATGAAGCACTGAAACATAAGTAATCAATCAGTTGTTCTTCCAATTCTTTCAAACCACTTTTTGTATATATCTGAATATTTTGCAATAGAAACTTAAGATATATAGTTTCTGTTCTAACAGTGAACAACTTTAATATTACTATTTTTTTTCATCTTTTTAAAATTTGATTATGCAATTGGCAATGTAAAATATTAGTTTTTGTTTCCAAAGAAATCCTTTTTAAATCAAAGTTTGTAATGTTGCGATTCATCACTAAACTGGTTAGTTTGGTTCATATCTGTCTTTATTTTAAAATATCTATTTAAAAAAGAATTGGAATAAATGGTAACACTTTAGGTTAGTTCACCCAAAAATGAAAATTAGCCCATAAATTACTCGCCCTCAAGTCATCCTAGGTGTATATGACTTTCTTCTTTCAGACGAATCCAGTCAGAGTTATATTAAAAATCGTCTTTGATCTTTCAAGCTGTTTCATGGCACTCAGAGGGTGTTGCATGCATCAGTCCAAAAGCAGTTAAATAAAATGCGCCCATCCGTTAAAAAAATTGTCTCACTCGGCTCCGGGGGGTGAACAGAGGTCTTCTGTAGCAAATCGATGCGTTTTTGTTCGAAAAATATCCATAATCAAAACGTAATAATCACTTTAATGTAGCTTGCGCTCACTGTTGTACACTGGAAGCAGTTCCGGGGGGATGACGTATGAGGTCAGTGCTGTGCATGTGCCAGTGAGTCTCGTGAAAACCAACGTTTCCTAACAGGAGCAAAGGAAGCAAAGTTTCCTTACTTTAGCAAAGGAAAACATGCATTATAAAGGGTTATTAAAGGGTATAATGCATTACAATTATTCATAATGTGCGTTGCAACACATTATATTATGTCGTAAATAATTATAACCGAATTTAAAATGCATAGTGTAGCAATGAATTGATAAGTGTATTAACTGTGGTTACAATTATTCGTGAGATTGTACAAGGCATAATTAATGCTTTAAAACTGCTTTTATAATACATTATACATAAAGGCTTTAAGTAAAGTTTTACCAAAAAACTTTAAAAGTAGCCTTGCACTGTTGCTCTCTATAGCAGTCTGGAAATGGTTGATGACCATTACCTGCCTTGCACATGGTTATGCTTTCATCTGCAGCATAAAGTGAAAGTGCTGACAGACATGTTCTCACACTCACCTGCAGTACTCCATAATTTCCAGTGATGTAGTCGTAGCGATAAGTTACTGAGTTACAGTCATTCGTTTTCATTGCATCTTCAAAGAAGGCGAGTAGACGCAAGATGGCCAGTTTCTTTTGCACAGCACATGTGGGACCTAAAATCAAAGATGTGGTTTATAGTTTAGTAAGCTTACATAAACTACATGGAATCTGCAGTGTAATAAAAGGCTAGAATAACATTATTGTGTTACTTTAAAAGAGTATCAGTGACTGGATCCAATGAGAAAACAGATGATGACATCACTCCATGGTGTATTAAACTCTATGTGGCCAAATTATTACTAACACGGAAAGTTCTCAGAATGCTTTGGCAAAGTTATGACAATTTTTCCAGTAACATTAATAACGTTTAAAGTTATCTGATCTTTAATAACGTTCTCAAAACATTATTTATACATCATTTAGGGAATGTTTTTTTTTTCTAATTTCATTTTACCATTTAAAAAGCATATGCTGCAATTTTGTCAAGACAGCTGTGCAACTTTGTTTAAGAGTGGTAAGAGGACCTGTGTTGGGGATATACGGATATGTTAAGTAGTCTGTGCGGTACGGACTAAAAGCTGTGGGGTGAGCAGGGTGAAGAGGCAGCCTTAGTCCACTGGACAGGTGTAGGTAAACCGATCTCAGTGCCACCCAGGTTCAGGATGAACTTGAGACGTGTCTTCACCGTCCCTCAGAGGTGGAGGTCAGGAGGATCGTCCAATCAGCTGCAATCAGAGAGAGAGGACACCCCTCTACCCCTCCTCTGAACCAATGAAATGGAGACAGGTCGCCCCGGTCCAATTAAGAGTCATAAAACATAATCAAAATTCAAAGGCTAGTCACTACGGTCTCCATTACTGGGGTTGGTCAGGCTCTGAGGCCAGCACTGATATCTGTTGACCATGCGTTAAACAAATACATTGTGTTCGTAGACTTGAGCCTCACATCTCAGGTGAACTTGACACAAAAGTGTTTCAAGTGACATAAGAGTGATGACAATTTTCTTCTTGTTCTTGTTTTTAAAGCAAATCAAATTTGAATTGATTGGACTCATCGGATCGGATCCCAGCATTTTAAAAGATTGTTTCATGTTTTTGACCAAGTAAATATTACAGTAAGACAGAAATATCATAAAATATTATTACAATTTAAAACAAGTTTTTTCTATTATAATTTACTTGAAATGTAATTTATTTATATGATGCAAACTGGTTTCAGTGTCACATGATCCTTCATAAATCACTCTTAATATGCTGATTTAGTGCTCAATCATTTTTTATTTTATTTTATTGTCAATGTTGAAAACAGTTATGCTGCTTAACATTTATGTGGAAACCACAGTACTTGCTGAATCAAAGTATTAATTAAAATAAATAAATGAATAAATGGATAAATAATAAATAAATAAATAAATAAATACAGACATTTGACCCCAAACATTTGTATGTATAGTGTACTTTTATATTTTCAATCAAGTTTGAAATATCAAGAGGGTGAGTAAATAAAGAAATTAAATTTTTTACTTTATTTAAAGCGGCAGCCCGTAAGTTTTGCCTCTTTGTCGCTATCTGTTTGAAAACCTGGAATTGCAGCCGTGTGCGGAATTATCTAGCTTGCGTGGGTTGTGAGTGGGCGGGCTCCAGCAGATGGATCTAATGTTCTGAAGAGTATGTGTGGCAGTCAGTCACTGCACCGGTGTGGATATTTACTGTACTTAGCAATCACAGATTCTAGCCTACGTCTTGGAATATATGACCCAAATAAGAATTTTCACCGTATATTGCCATCTGAACAAGTAACACGTCTGCCACGTTTGTTCTGACCAACTGAGGAACAAAGCATTACCATAAATCTCGCTACCAATGGTGATTAAATCTAAAGATCGGTTAGCTCATATCACATCAAACTGTTCAAATTATTATTATTGTTATACCTTATTCTCAAGTGATTAATGTTAACAACATCAGCATTGCCTGACTATGAGTATAGTGTGTATTAGCGTGTCAATTTCAATTTCTGCACAGTCTAATCTCTAATTGTCATACTTTTCGAATTTCATATTAAGAAATTATTTTAACTAAAAAAGCAAATTATGCTCGCTTTGAACTGGTTTTCTTTCAAATACAAATCTTTGTAATCCCAGGCTATCTGTAATCAGAAGCACATTTATAACTGGAATATAATTTAATTTCATTCACATGTGTTTCATAAACACATAATCCTTTATGGATTACAATCTGCCATCAAAATTATACATTTTATTATTCAGGCTGCTGTGAGAAAAGGCTATAAACGATCCACCACCTGCAGGATCCTCACATGCAATAGCCTAGTAGCCGGGACAACTTCTCTATGTTTACAGAAGTGACGTAATGACGCAGCGGCATGCTCGAATTTCCCGCGGAAACCTACACGTACCACTCAAATTAGAAAACATTATTATAAGCAAACCGTTGTGAATCGGGCTAAAGTAAGGCGATAGTTTTGAACACTGGCTGGTTATGTACTTGCTCAAAAATTGATTTCGGATCATTTTCAACCAAAAAAAAGTTACGGACTGCAGCTTTAATTATCAGTGATAGTTGCATTTGAGGGGGCATGTGTCGGTTTTAATGGTCATGGCTCTAGTTTTTTGTTTTATATTCTAATCCATTATAAATTTGCACCAGGAAGTAGATCAAGGCCGCTATTTCAGTGGAGTTTGCAGGGCTGTCAAACAATCTGGATGTCACGCACACACATTGCCAAAGTCATTATTTTCTTCAACTCTCAGCACTTGCTGAAATCCAGGATGTTTACAGTTGAAGTTTGTGGTAAACCTGTGGCTGTGTGGCAGGTGCTGTAGTTGAACTCCTGCTCTTTCAGATGAAGGATGTTCAAAAGGCTGTGGCTGGCATACAGAGTGATCACTCTCCACACTTTTATCTCTCTCTCCCCACATTAGCACATAAATGAAGCTTCACTTTGTCTCTGCAGCGTTAAAACTCACTCGGAATAAACAACACTTCCTCTTATCGGTAATAGACAGATTTCTGACATCCTAAAAAACCCTCACACCGTTAAATATCCCGGAATTATAATATTCCAACCAGGTGTCTTTGAGCACCCCGTTTATCTTGGTATTAGGTGTACACAAAGTTAGTTTGTTTGTTACATAAGCACAGATATGGGCACTGACGATTTATTCTTCTTGTATTCTTGAAAATCATTTACGAAGAGCAGAATACAGTACAGATTACATGTACAACTACAGCAAGAAACACGTTTTGCTGTTTCTGGACATTCACCAGATCTATTTCATGATTCAGGAAAGAGCCTATCTCTCAGCATCCAGTGCAAATTGCATTCTCTGGCACACTCACACACTTTCTCATCTACATATGAGGCTGTTATAAACACCAGCAGGAGGTTCCTGAGCGTCGGATATATAAACACATTTTCGAGAGTGTGTCGATAATGAGCTGGAGTGTGATATAGCCAGCCAGCCTTGATAAGAGTGCGGACATACGTAGATGCCTGTAGAGGGGTTAACGCAACGGTCTGGAGACACCATTGTGATTTCAAACTGAGCTTATCACAGGGGAAGGAGCTGGCAGCCTCTTAGAAGGCATTGTGTGCTTCTCTGTTTCTCTCGTCTTATTTAACCACTCGTTCTGCATCTTTTGTTTTACTTTTCATGCTATGAAGCATCTGGAGTACAGCGGCATAAACTAAAATGTGTCGGATGAGGTGGGTATACTGTGTGCTTCCAATATTTTGTACAATTTTCATCTAAACATGATTTTGGCAGGACAAAAATGTAGGCTGAATAGGCCTACAGGTAAAGTAAGAAAATTCTGTCATTACTTACTCAACTTCTTGTCAGTTCAAACCTGTTCTTCTGCAGGACACAAAAAATAGTCAGGTTTGAAACATCATGAGGGTGAGTAAATAATGACAGAATTTTCATTTTGGGGTAAAATACTCTATAAAAATGATTTTTCTAAGTTCTAAGGCAAAGATTTACTGTGTTTAATTCAAATTTAATTAACTGTTACTCGCATAATTATTTGTGAAAATGACTAGCAATTTCTGAGTAAAAATTGTTTCTACATGATCAGTGTATCCCTTTAAATTGGTCATTATTTTTATATTCTACTAATACTTAAAGTCAGTATTAAGTTCTTCCCATAACAGTTTAGGACTGTGTTCACCTTATTTCCTTTACAGATCTGTGAGGGAACATTTAACAGCATTACTGTGTGACATTTGTTATAATTATTCTATAAATCCGCAAAGGTCAAAGACTCTGAGGGCATAAGTAAGGAGATGTAGTTCTTTGCCAAACTATTTGGACCCTTAACCATTCTCTCATTTAACTGCATAAGCTACATTAAAATGTAGATATTTTTAAATACATGCACTGAAATTAATTATTTTGCACAGTCGCTGTGACTGCAGAAGCTTGTGCAGATGAAAAACAATTGCCCTAACGAGGACTCAATTGCCTTATAATTGGCCTTTACCTGCAAGTTATTAAAATAACTACTACATTTTCTGGGTAGTTAAAAAAAAGAGTTTTTTTATTCAGGTCGTGGTGGAGATTTCAGCTTAATTTAAAAGCATTAATTAAAATGTGGCCCAAATCTTTTACTGCCTACACGTCAAATCACCAGATCTGTTTAGTATGGAAGTGCTATGCGGCTGATTTACATCAGCAGGAGTGGGCATATTTTTAAAGAAAGAAATACTACAAAACACCTAAATGTGGGAATGGCATACTTATGTAGGGGAGAATGGGGCTAGATGTCGCACTTTTAATTCCAGTGGGGCATACTGTCCAGTGTTATTTTAGTATAGTATACTACAATATTATAGTTTTTATAAATATTTTGTATTGGTTTTTATTTTTTATATTTCCTTTTTTTTTTTCATTTACCATTTTTATCCATTTTATTTTTAACTTTAATTAAAGTTTTTGTAATTGTTTTTGTCATTTTTATTAGTTATTGTTATAAACAGCAAAACAATTATGAAGCACAAATCAGTTCTTAAAATACTGTGTACTTTATCGAACAAGACCTGCTAAATATAATAAAAAGAGACCATTCATATTTGGAAACTATGGGATTAG